CCGGGTGTAAGATTCTTCATATTACCTTAATAGGAAATTATAGTAGGTAGTAGTATAGTTTGTACCACCCCGATTTTAGGGTTCATTTGGTCCTCAAAGCAAACTGGCAACCAGGCTTGGCCACGACGCAGTGGAGGGCATCAGGGTCTTGGGCGCGCGACTGCAGCGGCTCAGCGAGCGGCGCAAGAGAGCGGCCCCCGCGGGGGGGGACTAAAGGAGCCCTAAAAGGGTTTTAGGGTTCAAAGACCCTAAAAGGGAATGAGATGACCCCAAGTTTAGGGTTCATGTGGTCCTCAAGGCAGGGATACAGGTATTTCGGGCGCTGGAAGAAGCCAGAGCCTGGGGAAGGGGGAGGACGTCCCGAAATGTGCAGATTGGCCCTTCCCTTTGCGGAAGAGACGCATGCACCCCACGCGCACGCTATGCATCTGGTGGAGCTTTGCGATACCGTTCTGTTCTTCGGCCAAGCTGCGAAGATGTGTGGGATGCTCTGCGAGGCCGACCGCCTCCATGACGCTGAACAAAGAGATCGATCTCGCGCAGCATGATGGAGATATCTTTTCGCGGTGGATGCAGGGCGACATCATGGACAGAATCGCTCTGCGAATTTGCCAAGCTCTCGTTTGTCAGCATGTTGGACCATGCTGCAACTGGCAAGCATAGACAGCTGACATCGCGCAAACGCAGTACCGTAGAATGTCGGGGGGGTTCGAATTTAGATTCTTTGGGTGGGTTGTTCTTACGAAGGTTCTATTTCAAGAAGGCACCTTTTTCAGGCCCCGAGTTCGGACAACCCGCCAAGTGCCGTTGTGTGTTTCACAAAAGTGCACTCAGCGGCTTCGATTCTCTACCGATGCGTTCAGCCATCAGCTACAAAAGTCCGCTCCTGCTTAATGGAGGGCCACTCTAAACCCCTAAACCCCTTTTTGGTGCGTTCGTGCTTCCTGAACCTCAAATCACAACTTGCAAAAGGAGACTTCAAAACTAGACAACATGAAGTACTTTTCTGCTTCCTCCCTATTTATGTTTTGTATGCATTTGTAATTATTTGTTTATGTTTGTGTATTTGTATATGAATATACTCAACGCCCCTGAACTTTCCGGGAGATGTGCCTTGTTTTTTTTTTTCAAAGGGTCGATAGGTCCCGAAACCCTAAACCCTAGACCCCAAACCCTAAACCCTAAACCCTAAACCCTAAACCCTAAACCCTACACCCCCAAAAACTCATTGAAAGGTAGCCTTAAAGCCTCCAACCTACAAGAAACGCGTTCGGAAGGTCGACTCATGGTCGACGAGGCGCCAGCGTGTTAAGCTGGAGCAGTTGCTCTCTTGGGTTCAGGGTTTAGGGTTTAGGGTTTAGGTTTGGGGTTCTTAGGGTTTAGGGTTTAGGTTTGGGGTTCTTAGGGTTTAGGGTTTAGGTTTGGGGTTCTTAGGGTTTAGGGTTTAGGTTTGGGGTTCTTAGGGTTTAGGGTTTAGGTTTGGGGTTCTTAGGGTTTAGGGTTTAGGGTTTAGGGTTTAGGGTTTAGGGCCCCTTGAGGGTGCCCTAGTGGTTAAGGGGTTCCTGTAGTTCAGGGTTTGGGCTTGCAGGGTTTAGGGGGGGGGGGGGGGTGTTTAGGGTTCGGGGTTCTGACTACTACAGGGAGGGACCCCCAGACTGTACTAAGTGGCTAAGGGATTTGTCAACGGACGCCTATTACGTACGGCGTACAGCCCAAAAGCACTTCACTGTCAGACAGGGAGTGGCTCGGCTGCAGCCATTAGGCCTGAGAGACCGCAGGATCAGTCCACATGTCATTTTACGCTTTCGGGCTTATAGGGTTCAAGACTTGGGCTTTACAACCTTGATGCTTAGGCAAGCCTTGCAAGGATTGAGGAAACCTCGCGGCTGAGAAGGAAGCCTGCAGGTTTCGGAAACCTTAGACGGAAGCTGAGACAAGAGTCCTACAGTTCTCACCAGCCAGCTCACGCGCTGCCGGCGCCGCCATGGGCAAGGGCGGCCGGGGCAAAGGGGGCTACCCTTGGTGGGAGCTACCAAGCTGCAGGGGCTCAGGGTGCTGGGTTTCGGGTCTATAGGGTTTAGGGTTTAGGGTTTAGGGTTTAGGGTTTAGGGTTTAGGGTTTAGGGTTTTGCTGAAGTGGAGAAGCAGCTCCATGTGAACAGCTTAAGCCCAGGTCGAGGTGCGATCGTTGTGCATTGCAGAACTCCGGCCAACCGTGGCTCAAGCAATGAGGTGCGCAGTGTACCGCTGGCTTGTGAGGTTTGGGTTCCTCTTGGGGGAAGTGAAGGGTAGTTGGGTTTGGGGGTGGGTTCCCGGTTTTCGGTTTCCTTAGACCCTAGGCCCTTAGACCCCGTTGGTAACCTATTGAAGGAGGAAGGTTTGGAGTTTGTGTAGTGTTCTTTGGGGTTTTAAGTCCAGGGTCTAGAGAAGATCAGCATGGCATCCCCTGCGCAAGATGACATTGCACAGAATCGAAGAAGTGATGTTCATCAGGTTATGACCGCCCAAGTTGACGCTGGTCCTGCGGAAGATTCGCTCGAAGGTGAAACCCACGGCCCTCAGTGCCCTCAGTGCGCTGGAATGTGCAATGGAACATCTGGTGGCAGGGAAGCTGTGGGCACAGTGAGGGAAGGCCGAGCTGGGCCTAGGGGAACACCCCAACCGGAGGCCTTGGTGCCAGGTCAGCAGTGTGCATCCATTTATGGGACAATGGGCTCAGCAGTGGGTTTAGCGAATGGCGCAATGGTTCCGATGGTTGGTGGTGCAAGGCCAGTTAGTAGCAGTGAGATGGCAATATTGGAGCGATGGTGAGCGTGGCCAGTGGCTCTGTCAACGAGCAAACGATGGAGATGGCTCCCGGCATGCCCTTGACGGCTATCATCAATGCTTCGCAGTTGCCAGCAGCAGAGCATGTGCAGTATCCGGAAGATGTAGATGGAGCGCAAATGCTAGCGGCCCAACTTTCTGGTGCAGCGCATGTTGGAGAGGTGGCACTCAGAGCAAATATGGCTGGCGAGGGAGAGGCGAGTAGAAAGGCTTCGACGAAAGGCTGCCAGAGCAGTTGAGGAGGAGCTTCGCGCATGGAAGGAGTTGAAGAGGAACTGCCGCCTCCGACTAGGTTGAGTCAGATCCAGCAATCAGAGGAGCAAGCTTCATCATCAACATTGGCACGGGAGAATAGGCCAATCATGGTGGACAAGCAGACACAAGCCTCACCTGCGATCAGACCGTGTGATCCTCCACCAAGGCAGATTGAGATACAGATGCAGCAGGTTCTACATGATGGTCCATATTTCCTGACTGACCATGGCGATGCGCTTCATACCTCTAGGGCTTGTTGGGGTCTAAGGAACGCTTCGAGAGTCAATCAGAGAATGCTGTGTCGATGCTGTCGTGACAATGCGGGAGAATCACCCTATGATCGTACGCCGGGAACCAGCAGAGCTCTTCGGCAAGCAGATACCTTTTAGGCTGGAGGGCTAATCTTCGCAGTTTGGTTGAAGTTCTTTTGAGCATTCTCCGTTCGCTTGCGAAGTAGAGGCCGCTAACTCGTTTGATTGCGCAGAGCACGTTGAATGGGAGCTGCTGGTGCGTGACACCAGAGGCTCGAAGGTGAGGAGGAGTGCTGAAGTGGAGAAGCAGCTCCATGTGAACAGCTTAAGCCCAGGTCGAAGTGCGATCGTTGTGAATTGCAGAACTCCGGCCAACCGTGGCTCAAGCGATGAGGTGCACAAATCGAGAAGTGTACCGCTGGCTTGTGAGGTTTGGGTTCCTCTTGGGGGAAGTGAGGGGTAGTTGGGTTTGGGGGTGGGTTCCCGGTTTTCGGTTTCCCTTAGACCCTAGGCCCTTTAGACCCCGTTGGTACCCCATTGAAAGAGGAAGGTTTGGAGTTTGTGTAGTGTTCTTTGGGGTTTTAAGTCCAGGGTCTAGAGAAGATCAGCATGGCATCCCCTGCGCAAGATGACACTGCACAGAATCCAAGAAGTGATGTTCATCAGGTTTGTAGGCTTTAGTTTGTGTTTTTTGTTTTTTTTTCTCCCCGCCTTCCTTTTTTTCTAGGAGTGGGGGAGGGGGGGGGGGGGGGGGGGCAGGCGGCACGTCAGAGAGTCCTGGTTCAACACGTTGTCTCGGGTTTAGCGGCATATAAATACACAATATATCAATACAGATATATTTTAATATATATAGAGATGTGTGTGTTCACATCTCTAATTAGCAGTCCCTTTTTTTGGAGGGGGGGTCGTATCATAAGGTGGCCCCCTAGTACCTACAAAGTGACCCTCATTTCAGAGGTGCTCATATGTCCCCGGCTGAAGGATATTGAAGGCAGCCTTTGTTTTTGAGAGCTTCATAGGATTTATCATTGAGAGTCTCAGGGAAGTTACATGGTACCTTGATACGCCCCTTGCCTTCTCTGAAGGGTTCTGAAGTATGGGCCCTTGGACTTTGTAGGGTATACAAGGAGTCCCCATCAACCATTTTTTGCAGCTACATCATTGGACGAGTCCCTACGCGAAGCAGTCCCCTGTATCAAGGAGTCCTGTTTGGGAAAAGGCATGTATAAGCCCTAAATCCCGAACTCTCATAAACCTTCCGGCCGAATCCCTGCCTGGCTTGCGCGAGTGTGAGAGCCGATGTCCCGAAGTCTCAAGCCTCAACCCTGAAGCCAACACAGAGACTGGAGATCTTGAATAGCAGGCGAGGCCCTTTTGGAGGTTTCGGGCTTCAAGGGCTTAGAGGGCTCGACTCGGGCACGCCTCGCATGTTTCGGCAGGTTGGGTTGGCCCTAAACCCTAAACCCCAAAACCCTGAACCCTGAAGTGGCCCAGTCTGGGGGAGGTAAAGGGGGGGGGGGCCGGAAAAGGGCGGGGGGTGGGGGGTCCTTGACATCAAACCCCAAACCCCAAACCCCAAACCCCAAACCCCAAACCCCAAACCCCAAACCCCAAACCCCAAACCCCAAACCCTAAACCCTAAACCCTAAACCCCTCGGCATCCAAGGCACATCAAACCCAAGGATGGCAGCTCAGGCTCTGCCGCCCGAAAACCCTCCACCCTAAACACCCTAAAACCCTAAAACCCTAAACCCTAAACCCTAAACACCCTCAACACCCTCAATATTTTAGAGGTTGGCTTAGGCAGTGGTCAGCAGACCTCCTGCAAAAAGGGTTCAGGGGTTTGAGTGTTTAGGGCGCCTCGTGGCGCAGCGGCAATGAGTACCACGGTGGCAATCTTTAGGCTTTTCTTGGGTACGAGGAGGCCCCCCCCCCTACTTATAAGTAGAGATATAAGGATACTGAACTTGCATCATAAGGATCCTAACTTCGGTTATAAGTCCCTTAACTATAGCGGTTATAAGTCCCTTAGCAATAGTTAGTAGAGTCAAGGGGCCCCTCCTTGTATGGGGGATGGTGGGAACTTGGGGGTTGATACCCTGCACCCTGATCCTGAGAAGTCGTCTTGGATACAAATGTCTGCCAAAGGGAAGAAGGCCTCCTTGTTATACTAATGTTCGTTCAGGGGCTAAAAATAATAGCCTAAGTTATGATGCATATAGCCCAGTTTAGGGCCCTAATAACTCCAGAGCTTTTTTTGGGGGGGGCTTTAGTGCCTGGCAGGTTCGGGGGATTCAGCACCCATTCCGCACGTCCCAATCAGGGTCCCTTGTACCTAGTACCTTTAGGGCGTATGTAGGGTAACCTTTGTACCCTTAAAGACAGGTGATATGCCTGCTTTGTTGGAAACATAGCCTTTCGTAAGGTACCCTGCTACTCTATGCAGGGTTTAAACCTCACGTTGAGCTCTCCTAAACACTAAACCCTAAACCCTAAACCCTAAACCCTAAACCTTCTGTTCCTCCAAGTGACCGTGGCACTGTTGCTGCCGCAGGTGGTTGGCAAAGCGACGCCTGCCGGCATCAGAGACAAACCTCCGGTCAAAATGCGGATCCTCAAACCCCCAAAAAAGATTCCTAGCCCTAAACCCTAAACCCTAAACCCTAAACCCTAAACCCTGAACCCTGAACCCTGAACCCTATAAACCCTAAACTCTAAACCTTGTCATCTAGGGTTGAAGGGCACACGTCACCTTGCCCCCCAAAAATTCAATCTTCGGTTTTAAAGGGGTGCTCTTTGAGGTTGGTGCTGGTGGGTCCTATGACTACTTGGAAGCCCTTTTGACTTAGGAAGTAGGGTTAGTAAGGTGGGTTATGGGGGCTGATGATTGGGGCTCTAGGGGGTGCGAAGTAGACTTACTACCAAGTCAGTATGTAGTTATTGATCATACCCCGGCTTGTTGTGAGTCTACTGTAGGCTGCGCCTTCAGCCCTAACCCTTCCTGCCTCTTGCTGCCTGCTGAACAAGGAGAGTTCCGCGCCGCGCAAGGCTCCGTCAGGCTGGGTGGTGCATCCCATGTCTCGCAAATCAGGGTTCAGGGTCTCTCGGCCAGTCAAGTGAAGCTGCTGCATATTTACCTCATTCACCCCCTAGAATGAATGATGAATTCTCCCCCTCTGTATCCCCCTTATCGTAGGTTGTTTATCGCCAGCCTTTGGGGCTGTTGGGGTAGGGGGAGTGTTGGGTCCGGAGGCCTTGGCGATTCTTTGTCTTGGAGCCCTTGTCCATGTGCGTCAAGGGCTTCGGTGCTGTTCGTGTGCAGGTCCCTCTTCTGATTAGAGATTGGGAGCCACTGTAGAGCATGTGCTTATGGTTGTACCACAATTTGGTCTGGGGTTTAGGGTTTGGGGCCAGCAGGTCAGCAGGTCCAGGTGCAAGCAAGGTCTCGGGGCCCAGATGCAAGAAATGAATTCAAAAATCGGATCTGGCACTCGTGGGCTGATATTGAGCACCGGTCTTCAGCCTTCCTCCCTTATAACGATCGCCCTCCGATGCCCATCTCCTCTGGACACCGCATGGCTTTACACACAGATGGAGCTCATGGCGGTTTTAGGCCCCCAAAGCCCTACTGTGAGCAGCGCGAGCCGTCAACTCCGATGCCCTAAACACCCAATTTCTGTGAATTGCCCCTAAGCCCCCATGCCGGGTTTAGGGTTTAGGGCTAGTCTACGAGGCCCTGGCACTTCAACATCTCAAAAGCCCTATACCGTAAGCCCGTGCGAACCTCTCAACCCCTGAATTTGGGGTTTAGGGTTTAGGGTTTGGGGTTCAATACCCTAAACCCTAAACCCTGCAGAAGTTGAGCCTTACCCCTGAACCTCAAACCCTGTCGTGGTAAGTAGGTCACCTCTAACCCCTAAACCCTAAACCCTAGACCCCCCTAAACCCTTCGTGGAGGGGTGATGAACCTCAACCTTAACTGCTTCTTTTCCCTGGGAAGCTCAGCCAGGCCGAGTTTGAGCCACGGCCCAAACCCGAAACCCTAAACCCTAAACCCTAAACCCTAAACCCTAAACCTTAAACCCTAAACCCGAAACCCTAAACCCTAAACCCTAGCCCTAAACCCTAAACCCCAAAAAACCCAAGAGGCCCATTGTCCGGCTTACAAAAGCACCTCCAAGGCTTGGAGGGCAGGCTCGCAGGGTTTAGGGTTTAGGGTTTAGGGTTTAGGGTTTAGGGTTTAGGGTTTAGGGTTTAGGGGTCTAGGGTTTGGAGTTTAGGGTTTGGGGTTTAGGGTTTGGGGTTTAGGGTGTAGGCTGTCAGCAAGTCCAGTTTCGGATGGTTTGGGATGGTTTGGGATGCTCTGGGGTGCTTTGGGGTTTGGGATGGTAAAAAATTTTGGTTTGGGATGGTTTGGGGTTCTGGGCTTAGGGTGCAGTCTAGAAGGCTAGGATGCCCAGTAGTACCCTTATTCCCTTTTTTTGGGGGGGTTTAGGTTCCCTTATAAACCCCTTTAAGCAAAAAAGGGCACCCTTTTTAAGCCTTGGTTACTGGGCAGCCTAGAAGGCGTTTGGGCGTGCCACAGGGTCGTGCTTCTCTCCTGGCAGGGCCTCGGGCCGGCTTTGGGGGGAATAGTTACTAGTAGCATTCCCTTTATGGCTATATAAGTATTATTATTCTAATCACCTCCAAAGCCCTATTCAACCTTTTGTAATTATTAAGGCTTCTAGTTTAGAGAGTTTTGGGAACCTGGGCTTGGGTTGGGGGGTTCGAGATGTATTTAGTTGTTCTTTTGGGGCCTTGCATTTGGATCTTGAGGCGACATGCGGCATTGCCATTTGGGTTTCATAAGGCTTCGTAGTCTAACGCTTACGCCAAACCCATACCCTTTTCACTCAGGCTTGCGGCGCGCAAAAGCCCACCCCTTGCTCGCTCAGGTGCACATCTTAGCTCTCCTGCTCGCGAGTACGCCTATGTTACCAGTGCGCCAGTGATTGCGAATCGCAGAGCGCACATGCCCGCAACTGGTCACAAACTCGTGACCCGGTTTCCAGGATGCTGAGACGCGATTTCGCTGCGCCTGCCACACTTTCCTACATTCCCGTGACCATGTTCTGAAACACGTTTTGTTTTGTGTGTGTGTGTGTGTTTTTAAGTTTTGTCTTTGCGCCGGGTGCCTTAACCTAAGCCAGCGCCGAGTGATACGAAAACCCGAACCCACTTTCTGGCACCTTGTGATCGTGAGCTCAGAAACCCTACACACAGGTTTCTTGGCCAAACAAAAGCATGCTTTGGGTTCTCGAGGTTGTTAACTTATCCTACTTGTAAAGTCTTGTGTGCGAAGTATCAGCTGGAGCGTCCAGTGGCGTTCGGATGACAAGAGAACTCTTTTTGCATTGGGGTTTTCCTGAAGGCAGTACCCCAGCTACAAAGACCTTTGTGGTGGCGCCTGGGAAATAGAGAGTCTTGGCAGCAGCAAGCCTCCCCCTCCAGCCAGGGCATCACACTCCCTCACAGTCTGCTTTCGGCCATGCATACAGTAGTACTTGGAGGTTCTAGGTACTTAAAATGGGGTTTAGGGTTTAGGGTTTAGGGTTTAGGGTTTAGGGTTTAGGGTTTAGTAGGGTTTAGGGTTTGGGGTTAGGGTTTAGGGTTTACGGTTTAGGGTTACATCAGCACTTATATAAGCCCACTTAGTCCTCTAAGCAGGTTCTAGGTAGACTTATACCCATGAACCTCCGAGCAAGGACCGAGAAGGAAGCGCAAAGGCCAGGAATTTTGAGTCCTCAGCCTTGAACCCTGAACCCTAAACCCTAAACCTAAGAACCCTAAACACCCTAAACAACCTAAACGCTAAACCCTAACCAAAGGAAGCTTAGAATACTTTCCTGTACCAACTGGCGGCATGGAAGCCTTGGACTCAAGGTCTATCAGAGTCTGTCATGTCAGCCTTGGCCTTCAACCCGTTGCTTAAGTGGCTTTAGGGTTTAGGGTGGCAGGGTTTAGGGCTTAGGGCTTAGGGCTTAGGGCAGGAGGCCTGAAGCAGACAAGGGTTTAGGGCACCCAAGGCAGCGGTCCATGAGCGTGTATTTCGACCGCCGCTTGGACGAAGAAGCTGCCACAGCCAAGTACAAGGGGGCCCCCCCGCCCTATGTAGTTAAACGAAGAGTTATAGGGATCCTAAATTGAGTTAGAAGGATCCTAAATTGAGTTAGAAGGATCCTAAGTTGAGTTAGAAGGATCCCAACTTAGGTTATAAGTCCGTAAACTATAGTTAGTATATTAAGGGGGCCCCTCCTTGTATGGTTGTCCCAGAGACTCCAATACCCCTTAGTTCTGGCAGAATCCTTCAACTATCATAGGGTTCCTGTTTTCTGGTTTAAGGAATATTCCTTACAGATTCCTTAAACTATCACAGGGTTCCTTAGATGGTTTAAGGAATATTCCTTAAATTATACCAGGGTTCCTTATATGGTTTAAGGAATCTTCCTTCATTAAGGGGCATTGGAGACCCTGGGGTTGTCGGAGCGGCCTCCCTGGCGGCCAGGGCTTTGGAGGCTTGGGGGGTCTTGGGAGTGGTGGCTTCGACAAATGATGGGCACATGCCCTAAGTCCTAAACCCAACATATCCTTTTCGGTTAAATTCCATTACATATACATATATATATATATCTATATATATCTATATATATATATCTATATATATATATATATTGTATATGAAGTTATAGTATTTTGCAACGTTTCAAGACGCAGATGCCCTGCCAGCGATCTTCCGACCACCGCCGAGAACCCGAGGCGTCCAAGGCGACGCCTACGCGCCCCCTTCCTGGATCCGCACCCGGGTGCCTATGGCCGCTGTAACTTGGCAGTGGTTTGGGGTTTATGGTTTAGGGTTTCGGGTTTAGGGTTTCGGGTTTCGGGTTTAGGGAGTTTTTGTGCAAATATGTGAGGCAGAGCCGAGGACTTCCAAAAGGATAATCTAGGGTATGGTTGTGCGAAACAACACGGTTAAAGCCGATGGTTTCTAAAAAGCCGACACAGAATCTGGGGTGTGAGGTTGCGGTTCTTGCGTCTTAGGGAAGGCTGGGGCAAGCACTGCCTACAAGTAGGGGCCCCCTTACGACACTAACCTTAGTTAAGGAAGTTATAACCTACATAGCAATACTTATAACCCAATTTAGGGCCCTTGTAACCCTATTTATAACTAGGGGGCCCCTACATGTACCTTTATAACCCACACAGTAATACTTATAACACAAGTTAGGGCCTTATAACCCTGTTTATAACTAGGGGGCCCCTACATGTACCTTTATCACCCACATAGTAATACTTATAACACAAGTTAGGGCCTTATGGCCCTGTGTATAGCTAGGGGGCCCCCTAAACCCTAAACCCTAAACCCTAAACCCCCTACATGCACCTGCTCCCCATAGGCAAAGTTTCCGCCGGAGTTTGTCACCGAGTCGAAGATACGGAACACGGCGCTGTGCGCCTTTTGGCTCCGCCTGGTGTACCAGGTCAGGGTTTAGGGTTTAGGGTTTAGGGTTTAGGGTTTAGGGTTTAGGGTTTAGGGTTTAGGGTTTAGGGTTTAGGGTTTAAGGTTTAAGGTTTAGGGTTAGGCGGGCGTCTGGCAGTCAGCAAGTCCAGCTTCCAAAAGGTTTAGGGTTTAGGGTTTAGGGTTTTGGTTGTAGAGTTTAGGGTTTAGGGTTTAGGGTTTAGGGTTTAGGGTTTAGGGTTCAGCATCTCAAGTCCAAGCATTCACTAGTCAAGAAATTGTTACTCCAGAAAAATACCCACCCGCCCGAAGAATCCCACAACATTAAGAACATATTTCACTTATGGAACGACCTTGCCCAGGAAAAAAAAGACCTTGCCCAGTAAAAAAACGACCTTGCCCAATAAAAAAGTGACCTTGCCCAGTAAAAAATGACCTTGCCCAGTAAAAAAATGACCTTGCCCAGTAAAAAAATGACCTTGCCCAATAAACAAGTGACCTTGCCCAGTAAAAAAAATGACCTTGCCCAGTAAAAAAATGACCTTGCCCAGTAAAAAGATGACCTTGCCCAGAAAAAAAATGACCTTGCCCAGTTAAAAAAAGAACCTTGCCCAGTAAAAAGATGACCTTGCCCAGTACCATTGTTACTGGGCAAGGTCATTTTTTTTACTAAGCAAGGTCATCTTTTTATTGGGCAAGGTCATTTTTTTGGACGAAACGACCTTGCCCAGTAAAAAAAACAACCTTGCCCAGTAAAAAGATGACCTTGCCCAGTAAAAAACATGACCTTGCCCAGTAAAAAAATGACCTTGCCCAGTAAAAAAAAAATGACCTTGCCCAGTAAAAAAATGACCTTGCCCAGTAACTCCTTAACATTTAAATTATATATGAAAGAGAGGTTTAGGGTTCCGGGTTTAGGGTTCGGGGTTCAGGCTCACTCGGGCTGCCCCTTTTCCACACTACGAGGATGCCACCGGACGCGGTTGCCAACAGTCAGAGTAATTACTTGGGATGTTCCCCCTTATACTAACAGTCCTTAGTAGGGATTATGATTATAATAGGGGCTACTCGAATCCCGATTAAGGACTGTTCGTGTAAGGGAGAAAGCCCTAAGTAATTACACACTTACTATAATATGGTTACTGGGCTAGCAAGATATACAAGTAAGGGCCCCTTTCGTTTATACTAACTTTAGTGAAGGGGCTTATAACTTAAGATATCCTAGAATAAGGACCCCCAAAAAGAGTCTCTAATTTGAAGAACTACCCATAGCCGAAGCCCTTAGGATACCACCCAAGGGGACAGTAACTTGGGTTCAGGGTTGAGCCGAAAAGGGTTGAGGATTTAGGGGCAGCCTGATGGGCATGACGTGGCCGGATGAAAGACTTCCCAAAGGGCCCATGTACCTACATAGTATCCTGTTGGGCCTTAAAGGGGTGCCTGTATAGTAGGGTAGATGGACATTTAGGGTTTGGACTCCAACCCTACACCCTACACCCTACACCCTAAACCCTAAACCCTAAACCCTAAACCCTAAACCGGTTTTCTGAGGATTTTGTCACGCGCGTGCTCTCGGATCGGTTACGCGGCGGCTGCGGCACAGACTGGCCCTGCACTTAGCCTCGGCTCCACAGCCCTTGTGTCATAGTGGGGTTTAGGGTTTAGGGTTTAGGGTTTAGGGGGTTTAGGGGGTTTAGGGGGTTTAGGGGGTTTAGGGGGTTTAGGGGGTTTAGGGGGTTTAGGGGGTTTAGGGAGTTTAGGGTTTGGGGTAACACTTCTGCATGTTTAAGGGTACTTAAGCTCAATAAGAAATAGAAACTTTTTTTCATTTCCATCCCAACCCAGAACTAGAACCCACCCGCCGACGCTGCGCGCAGTGCGCATGGACTTTGCTGTGTTTAGGGTTTACGGTTCAGGGTTCAGGGTTTAGGGTTTAGGGTTTAGGGCTTAGGGTTTCATTCCTCGGACGCCCAGCTGTCTGAAGGGTTCGGAACTTCGACTACAACGCCCATGTGGGCCATCTTTGGGTTCGCTTGCTCTTCCTACATGTCGATGCACAGAAACCCCTAAACCCTGAACATTTAGGGTTTAGGGTTTAGGGTTTAGGGTTTAGGGTTTAGGGTTTAGGGGAACCCCGGCCCCGGACATTCCTGCACTATCCTGGGCTCCTCGTCCCTTGCAGATGCCACACAATCCCGGAAGCCCCAAAGCTGGGCCCTAAACCCTAAACCCTAAACCCTAAATCCTAAACCCTAAACCCTAAACCCTAAACCCCATGTTTCCCCAGCTCGGATTCGCAAAGCCTGTCAAGGACGAAGGTGGTCCAAGGAAGTGGCTGGTCGGGAAGCAAGGGTGGAGATCTACAGATCGCCGCTCGGCACCATGGATGTGGGCTTAGGGGTTTAGGGTTTAGGGTTTAGGGTTCAGGGTTTAGAGTGTGGGTTCAAACAAAGGGTTTAGGGTGTGTTGCCTTTCCCGGCATCCGTCACGACGCCTGGATGTCAAGCGGATATTAGGGCATACATCGGGTTGCTCTCTGGAGAATGCTCGGACACTGAGGATGTTGCGAGTGCGTTCTTGACTTGGCAATGTGTACCAAGACCCCTGAATTGAGGATCGTACCCTAAACTGCTACGAGGGAAGCATATGCTTCTTTCCTAATGGTTTTGGCTCTCTGCGCTAATTTCCCAGGGGTGGAACGTGTTTAATCGCTTCCCCCTAATACTAAACCCCACCCTAATTTTAAATATTCTATTTTTCCCGGGCCCTCCCGGCACCCAGCCCAATACTAAACCTGTTTGAGAATTAGGGGGGGTTGCTGGCCTCCGCCCTTGAGGTGAGCCATTAGGGCTTAAGGCTCAGAGCTAGCTCATGGCTCAGCGGGTTTAATTCGGGTTTTGGGATTAAGGCTAAGCCCTAACTGAAGCCAGAACCCCGAACTCCAAACCCTATATTCCCTCCTTCTCCTCCCAGGCTTCGGATTTCAGGTTTTAGGGTTTAGGCCCCCCGTAACTTCAAATATTTGTCCGGCCGAGGCGAATTTTAGAATTGGCGGGGGGGGGGGGGAAAGAAAGCGGGGGGGGATTTAGTATTAGGGGGAGGGGATTAGCATGGGTTTAGGGTTTAGGGTTTTGTCTAAAAGGGTTTCTGCTGGAAATGTGTATCTTCTATACTAATGGGTTTAGAACGTACGGCTGAGGATGCCCAGTAGTACCCTTGTTCATTCGTTTTTGGGTCGGGATCTCTTGGTGTCTCCTGTTTGTGTAATAAGCTGACTCAGCACACTTGATTTCGCGACACTTCACACGTCTGGAACATGCTTTCCATTGTACAGAAGCACCAGGCCTACTTAGTAAGTGCCGCGAAGTTTCTCTTGATGTCACAGTTGAGATTCGACGCATGCTAGCCGTTGTACAGAAGCGCAAGGCCTACTTAGGAGGAGCCGCGAACTTTTCTCTGGATGTCACATATGAGATTTGACTCAGCCGTCAACGGCTACCTGCGCCTTAACCTCTCAATGTTTGCCGCTAGGTTGTCTTCACCTCCGCAGAACGACCTGTGTAACGCACAGTGAGTATTAGGGTTTAGGGTTTAGGGTCTAGGCATAGGTTCATGATGGTCTCAGACGACTCAGTGTGCTGGGGGTCCCATTGTTCTACGATCTCCTCTTCCATGGGCACAGTATCTCATGCCTTCAAAACCACGCAGCAGGCAAACCATAAGATGTGTAAATTCCACAAACCAGGCTAGAAGACTGGGTGATCGGCATTTGAGGCTTGGTGCAGGGATTAGGAGTGTTAGTATCCAGTACCGCAAATATCTGTTGCATCAGGACCCCGGATACCTCTTACCCCCTGGTACTTAGTAGGGAATGAGGGGATGAGGGCCCTGTATATACCCTTTAAGGGATTATGCAGGGGCCCTCATTCCCTCATTCCCTACTATGAGCCAGCCAGCTTAGTGTAGACTGAGTGACTGTCGCGGAGATCTTCAATAGTGCGGTGTCTTCAGCGCCTGAAGCTGCGATCTTTGACGGTAGACACTGATGCTTGTAAAGATTCTTCTAACCCGCATACCATCTTGGACGTTTCTTCCCGGCATGTGAGCGCACGTATAATTACATAGGGGTACTTGGAAATAATTCTTAATTTTCGGTTATTTTGATCCCTAAGGAACAGCTGAAATTATATTTTTTGCTCGGGCTCCAAGTTCAGCATAGGTTGAGTGTCGGCCTAACCCCTAAGCCGTAAACCCTAAACCGAAGGGGTTCGGAAAAGGTTCCTTACAGTCACCCGAAGCTCCAAACCGGAACGCCATCCCCTGAAGGCCACCTTTGCGTTGTGTTCTTTAGGGTTTAGGGTTTAGGGTTTAGGGTTTAGGGTTTAGGGTTTAGGGTTTAGGGTTCAGGGTTCAGGGTTCAGGGTTCAGGGTTCAGGGTTTAAGGAGTCAGGAAGCCAGAAGCACGATTGAAGGCTTAGCGGCCTTGAAGCCTCTAAACGGTTCGGGCGCAGCGGGGCCCTGTAGACCGAAGGCATTCCCAGCCTTGAAACGAAACAACGACAACATCAACACACAAACGCTTATAGCGCGACAGATGCCCAAAGGCGTGACGGCAATGGCAAAGGGCCCAGAACCACACGCCTGGACCATGCGCCTTCAAACCATGCACAGTTTTGCAAACACAGAACCCCACGCTGAAAACAACAAGCGCCCGAACCAGCACAACTTTCAACCTTTGGCAACAATGCTACCAGGAGGGCCCCCCCCCCTAGTTAAAAGAAGAGCTATAAGGATCCTAAATTGGGTTCGAAGGATCCTAACTTCCGTTACAAGTTCCTTAACTCTAGTTCGAATAGTCAAGGGGCCCCTCCTTGTACCCAGCAGCAGGACACGCCAGGGCAATATGTGCTGGAGCGAAGCAGCGTGGTCGCCAAGGCTGACTTCATCGAGGCCATCCTGTAGCCGGGGAAAGGGTTCGGAGGATTTTGAGGGAGGATGTTGTCTTTTCTTGAGGGTTTAGGGTTTAGGGTTTAGGGTTAAAGCTTAAAACAAGGGTCTTCAGCATTGTAACTGGACTTCTAACGAGGGATTCAAGTCTTAACAATCCCTGGCCTGCAGCAGGGGTTTAGGCCCAACAAAGGTAAACAACTAGCGTTTAGGGTTGAGGGTTGAGGGTTGTGCCGAACAAAAGGCTCATTCAACGGTGTTTCAAAACTTGAGCAATGTAGATGCTTGTTGTGGATACAACGGTACTAAGAAGTTGAGATTACGGCGGGTACTTTGTTGGTGCATATCCGCAGCTTGCAGCAATGACTCGATTGGCTAAGTTCCCCTAAACCCTAAACCCTAAACCCTAAACCCTAAACCCTAAACCCTAAACCCTAAACCCTAAACCCCTAAACCCTAAACCCCAACCAGCTCTTGGGACTTTATGGTTTAACTGATGAGAGATCTCGAGTCAGGTGGCTGAGGATGGTTTTTTTTCGGGTGTCGTCAACCCCCGGGCCCAAAGCGCGGCTAGGTTTTGGGTTTAGGGTTTGGGGTTTAGGGTTTAGGGTTTAGGGTTCAGGCTTAGGGTTTAGGGTTTAGGGTTGTTTTAGGGTTCGGGGGGCTTGGGGCTCGGGGGTTTGGGTTTGGGGATGGTTAAGGGGCGCCGCGTTGTGTTTCTTGAGGGGTTTAGGGTTTCGGGGCCTGAGGGCTCATCCGGTCAAGAGTTCAGGGGTTTAGGCAGTTTAGGCTTTAGAGCTTCGGGTTCTGGGGACATGGGCTTGAACCTTGAACCCTGTTCAGAGTTCATGTCCATGGTATGCTTTTCCATCATCAAGTACACCAAGTGCAAGAGCTAATGCATCTGTAAGTGCCCGACCTTTGACTTTCAAGTTCTGCATCACTTCAAGGCATCGGCACTTTAAGCATGACGGGTTTAGGGTTTAGGGTTTAGGGTTTAGGGTTTAGGGTTTAGGGTTTAGGGTTTAGGGTTTAGGGTTTAGGGTTTAGCCAGCCTCTGTAAACAAATCAAGCTGTTTCCCAAATTTGTTGTGGTACTTCATGCCCAAGGCCGAGATTCGTCACAACTACTCGCCAGCCGATTTCTTGACTCAAAACCTCAACCCTAAACCCTGCCCAAAAAATTCTATAATAAGCCGCATAAACTCTAAAGCCCCAACCCTGAAAATTCTTAACGTTGCGCCTTAGCTGGATATCGCATGCCGCACCAGTGTCCGAGAGTGAGCGACTAGACTCGCCAGCCAAACTGGGCTACTGAGAGGGTCGGGGACTTAGCACTTGACCCTTAACCCTAAACCCTAAACCCTAAACCCTAAACCCTAAACCCTAAACCAACTATATATGTACGCTATAATTGTGATGGTAACCCAACTATGGCAGAGCAACCAGATTGGTATAACTGCAGAAGCAAATTCACTAAAGCATATGAAAAATATTTAATGCGCTCATTAATCAATAGTACTATTGTAGATGTTTCTAGAAAAGAAGGGTTAAGTTACGATGAAATTGATGGAGCATTAAATAGGCAAATAAATAGTGAGGTCAATGTTGCAATTATTTTAATACCCTTGATATATTAGGGATAGACGAAATTTCACTAAAAACTCTCATAAAGATTTTGTAGCGATAATTTCTGCTAGAATTCATGAGCAGACTAAGCTTATAGCAATATTGCCAGACAGGAAAAAGGATACTGCAAAACAATTCTAAAAAGCATTCCAGAAAACTTTCAAGCAACAATAAAAACAGCACGGACATGTATGAGGGATATATAAATGCGATTTTAGAAGTATTAGGAGAGAACGTAAAAGTTGTCGTTGATAGATTTCATGTTGCTAAAGAATATAGAGAATGTGTTGATACTTTACGCAAAAAAATGAATTAAAAGACTTAAGCAAGAATTAACTGACGATGAATATAAAGATTTAAAAGGAGCAATGTGGGCGCTGAGAACAGAAGAAGAACAATTGTCCAATGAGGAAAATCTGGTCCTTAAACATCTTTTCAATCATTCCCCAGCTATTAAGGAAGCATATAAATTTCAAAATGAGTTGACTAATATATTCAACACTAACCATACGAACAAACCATGCTGATAAAGCTATTAGAAAAAGGGTTAAAAAAAGCTACAAAGAGCCCACTTGATTGTTTTGATAAATTTATTTCAACTTTAAAAGATCATTGGAATGAAACGTTAAATTATTTTCACAGAAAAGCTGGAAAGAAAAGCGGCTTCGTTGAAGGTCTCAATAATAAGATAAAAGTGATTCAGAGACGTTGCTATGGGATATTGAATATTAACAATTGTTGTAACTATTCACCTCTGTTAGCTTGAGTCTATTGTTTCAGCCTTAAGAAATTTCGGTAATTTACCGCTGACAAGCAAATTCAATACTTTAGTAGCAGAAACATCATGCTTGCTACAAGTAGATAAATAAGACTTAGAATACTGATGAGGTTTTTTAAAACCGAAACGCTATGTAACGTCTATTCATGATTATGCACGATCAAATAACTGCGTATTTAAAATGGTCTTAGTACCTGACAAGCAACAACTTTGTGGATAAAGCCTTTGAATAGAGGTGGATTCCAAAATTCGAAGTTACTGCAGTTGTTTGAGAACGAATAAAGCGAAGCAAGCATTATCCGATGGATCAGTCGTTCATAGGCCATCACACTATAGGGAGACTTCGGTTTTCCTGTGATGCAACAAATCCAGTTGGATGCGGTGTGTTCAGAAGGCTCGTATGAGTTGTGCGCACCCTTGTGTGTATGCATGGCTCAGAGTCTTAAAGCACCTATGATAATAGGCCAGCCTTCTCACGCATGTAGGCTGCCGGCACGTTATTCATTCCTGGTCGTAGCAATGCGCTCCTGAATTTTAGTCCCGGTGACGATGACGTTCCTGAGCGCAAGCTATTTTAGGACACAACGATTGTGAGCGAAGATAGATGCGGACTGCCACCTTTCGATGCTCTGTACAGAGGCATTGAGACACTGCAGTTGTAGCCTTGGTGAGATCTGCCCGGATTGTCAGCGGAAAGGTTCCGTGGGGTAAAGGAGTCTCTCCTTGTTCTCAATCACCACTGTGGTGGCTTTGAGCGCTGGTCTACTGCAATAAAAAAGTACTGATGAGTCTTTTATAGATGAAACCATGCGCCCAAGGTGTTGGATGGGTTAACATCCTCACCGGTCCGAAGGACGGTAATCTCACAGAGCAGTTAAACTGCACCTTTAATCTTTAATCCCTGACACGAGGTAGCCCCAATGTTTTCTCCCAGCGACCTAAAAATTTTAGTTACAGCTCACCGTGGATATGGCGTTAATGCCAAACGTCGCGATGAGTTCATTAAAAATACTATCTTTTATCCTGAAAACAGTTTGGCAGCTATTAAAACACCAATTGCAGATGGGGCAGACGCTGTAGAATGTGACATTCATGTTTCATCAGAAGGCACAGCCATGGTGACAACACACGGAGACAAAATCGGCAGTTACTGCCAAATTGAAAAACATCATCCAATCACCATCGCAACCAAAAAATCTGCCGGCGATATCTTATGCACTGATTTAACCGATGCACAAATCCAATCGTTGCCTTTAAAATATCAACCTCGTGATACTGATATCCCCCCATCTGCTCGCCAAGTCGAAGATTATCGCGTTCCCACATTACATGAGTTATTGGAATTGGTTGCCAAAACCACTGCAAATCGTCACCAAATAAACAAACCCCCTTTACGCCTGAATATTGAGCTCAAAGGTACAAAAGGCTGCTACTGCAACCCTCTTGGCCATTGCCAAATTCAACCGCACCCAAACCAAAAAAAACCATTGATTGTAAATATATTATTTTTCTTGGGCGTATCAATACCTATGAAATTATTATTGCAGAAAGTTTAAGCTGATCTTACGATCACACCACCGGACAACCCTTCGAAATTTTCCGTAGAGCAAACAGCAAAGCACTCATTGAAACCATTAAAAAAGAAAACCATTAAAAAGCGAAACGCTGTACTGGAAAAACATTTTTCGCTGCATGCTTATCGTGGATTCTGGGACGGCGCCTGGACGACAGGAAAACAACAAACTGGGTGACTTGCTGGGATAACGAATGGGATGCCTGGCTGCGCCATCGGAGATACTACCTGAGACGATGAGGTGAAACCGGCAAACACTGGCTTCGATAGAGTGTGAGGGATGGGAAGAAGCAAGGCTGCCACAGGTTGTGAGACCCAGAAATTGCGTCTTAGTGGCTGGGGGAGGCTGTCAGCATGCGGTTCGGCCAGCTATGCGGGAGCGAAAAAAAAACCCTAAACCCTAAACCCGGAGTCTAAAGTCGGACACCCCCAAGTAATTAGGGTTCCCTTTTGGGCACGTGTAGCTTCACCCCGATCTTCCAAGTAGTAGCCGGGAAGTAATTATACCTAAACCCTGAAGCCTGGACCTCATTCCACCCCACACCTAAGCTTGTACACCCACAGCTCAGATCTTAGCCCTCAACCCTAAACCCTAAACCCTATTATGCACCCTAAGCCTCACTAAAACCCCCCCAAGCCCTGAGCCAGGCACGGCTGACCCTAGCTTTGCCTGCCCGTGGCCGGTCCATCGAGGGCCTCTTGGATATCAAGCGGGTTAGAGCTGAAGGCTCGTAGGTTTCGAAGGCTTTTGAGGTTTTTCAGGGTTTGTTGTCTGCATCAGCGGACGCGCGCGGGGGGGGAGTGTTCCTTGCTTAAGATAATTTAAGGACCCTCAACACTAGACCCTAAACCCTAAGCCACCTATCGCGTGCTCGCGCAGCTTAGTAGCCCCACCCTTTTGGGGTTACGATTATAAGGCGACCCCTAATATTTAGGCTACCCAAAAAGGGACCCTAATATAGAGAACTGACCAAATAATTGCAATCATATGAAACAGAGTTTGAATTTATGTTATTGGTGAGTGTATTTTGGGTTTCTTTTAAATATTGGTGGTATCTGTGCAATGAACACCATACTTCATATTGTTAGAGTCATAATTCTAGGAATTATGATAGTAATAAGGTTTGTTGCAGTCATAACATCAGCATTAATGATCGTAACCAGGTAATATCAAATTAGCCATGATCATGAAGCTAAAAGAAGATGTTGAAAGGTTAATGCTGGTCGTATTATGAGCAAGAATTCTAGGAGTAGCATTCATCATTGTCATAAAATATTCATGATAATAAGATGCACGACAGCAGGTCCACAAACTTGATGAGCACCTAGTAATTCCGCTTCAAGCTTCTGGCTTCTTAGAGCCATTAAGGGAGTATAGGGTAAGTTTCCGAGAAGCTGTATGGGGTGGGGAGGCTTTCCCTAAACCCAAACCCCAAACCCCAAACCCCAAACCCCAAACCCTAAACCCTAAACCCCAAACCCTAAACCCTAAACCCTAAACCCTAAACCCTAAACCCTAAACCCTAAACCCTAAACCTCAACCGCAGCAAGGGCTGTTCTGGGGGGGGGTCCCTTTTGCCCTGCAGCTTCCTGCAGAGAGCCCCTTAAAAAGGCACTCTGGTTCTGAGCATCCTCCCCAGGCTCTGGCTGAGGGCGCTACATGTGGGCAGTTCTTAAAACCAGGGCTCCACAGTTTACTATAGTTTACCAAAATCTTCATTGTTATTCTGACAATGATGAGCCCATTTCTATTATTCTTACTATCATCTTTATTACTAGCAATATGACCAGGCTCTGAAGCTTCGCTAGGTGGACGAATTCTAGGCTTGCCTGGGTCTCTGTCGAGGGTGAAGTATGGTTGCTGGGCGAAGGGGGGGGGGGGGTGGGTGAAGAACGTCATGTTTGGTAGAATACTTGGGTTTTTAAGTACTTGCTACAAAGGGACTTTGGGGCCCAAGTATATAGTAATTAGGTACACGGACCCTAGAGGGGGAGGCCGGAAGCTGAAAGGGGGCAAGTTCCACGCAGCGTTGCATCGTCGAGCCGCACGTTGCTTCGCAGCCTCTGCGCGCGCGGCTACAAGTAGGGGCCCCCTTACGATTCTGACCTTAGTCAAGGGAGTTATAACCTACATAGTTATGCTTGTAACCCAGGGGCCCCTACATGTAGACTCCGGAGCAAGGGTTCCCAACACGGTGTAGGGCTTTATTTACGGTTTAGGGTTCCAGGCCCCTGGCCCTAATTGAAGCCTAAACTCCGGTGCTGAATCCTATACACCCTGGACCCTAAACCCACAAACATCCGTAAAAAAACCATTAGCCCTCCCTAGAACCAAGCCCCCTGTGTTTTTTCTTTTCCTTTCTGGGGTTTAAGAGGATTCTGTTCAGGAATCTTTTTCAGAGGGTATTCTTTTTTAGGGCCATTATTTTTAAGGGCCATCCTAGGCGCAAAGCTACGGCTCTCGCTGTACAGAGGTTACCGTGCCGCGGAAATCGTCGGCGGTCTCTGTGACGCAGTCGAAGGTGGGGGGGCCTTGGCGTGTTGGCTCATAGGTGTCCCAGGTAGCTCAGGCACTCCATGGTTCGGTTTAGGGTTTAGGGTTTAGGGTTTAGGGTTTAGGGTTTAGGGTTTAGGGTTTAGGGTTTAGGGTTTAGGGGCTGGGGGCCTACAGGGTGTACAGCAAGGCTGCGCATGGGTTTCAACAAAGGGTTCCGAGCCGGATGATGAGCCACAAGCGCTTATGTAACTCAAAAATGCCTGGACCTTCAAATATATTTCCTTTCTTCGGTGCCTAGCGTTCTTTTTGCATTCTCCGCACCCAAACCCTAAGCCCTAAGCCCTAAACCCTAAACCCTAAACCCTAAACCCTAAACCCTAAACTACAATGTTACAATGGTCCAGGTATATACCAAGTTTTGGCACGAGGGGCCATTTGCCTGCGGACCTGCTCGGCAGGTGATGCCTAAATCCTAAATCCCGAACAAGCTCAAAACCCAAAATCCTAAACCCTAAACCCCAAACCCTGAACCCTAAACCCTAAACCCTAAACCCCCTAAGCATGCCGCGAGGCTCGCTATTTTACAAGTCGTTGGACGCGGCGGCCCTGCGAAGCCACATTGAAGCAGTCGAGGATCAGGACGCCTCGCAGCAATTAGGGTTTAGGGTTTAGGGTTTAGGGTTTAGGGTTTAGGGTTTAGGGTTTAGGGTTTAGGGTTTAGGGTCATGGGAGTCTGGCTTGCCTTCAGTCCAGTGGCCAAAGGCTCTAAACTCCCCAGATCCCTGAGAGGATCCAAAAAGTAGAACCCCCAAGTAGTACCCTATACACTATTGGGTCATTTTTCGGAACCCTCAAGGGGACTTTCTGGATCCTCCCAGTGTTCGTGCCTTTGAAGCCTGTGAGCCGATACCCTCAACTTTAGGTACACCCTACTCGGAAGCCTTTTTGACGTGGCAAGTGTAGGGATAGCAAGTTGGGTTATGGGGATAGTTTTACGGGACGCTAAGTATTATGGGGATAATTTTACGGGACACTTAAGTACTAACTAAGTCAAAAGGGCCTCCAAGTAAGCCCTGCGGGTGGAGACTGAGGTGGCCTTATGCCCATGGCTTTCCTTTTGAACAAGCAGAGGCCCTCCTTTACTAACCTTAGTTAAGGGAGTTATAACCTACATAGTAATACCTATAACCCAAGTTAGGGCCCTTATAACCCTATTTATAACTAGGGGGGCCCCTACATGTAGGCTTTCGGCCCATTCTGTGGGGGGGTAGGGAAGCAGGATTGACTTGATGGCGTGCCTTCGGCTCCACTCCCTGGTGTACACAGTGCCTTTTCCAGCAGGCTTCGATCGAAAAGAGCACTACGTGTTGTTGAAGCTGATCAAGAGGCTCAGAGGACGATCTGTGCTGGTGAAGATTGTCCTGCGCGAGAACAGCTGCTGGCGACCTTTCCTGCGAAGGCCTGTCCGTGACCCTCGGGATAAGGCTCTTCAAAAGAAGCTAGGGCGAGGTTTGGAGCAGGCTATGGACACTTACCGCTATCCTCATGTCAGGATAGTGGCGGCAGATGCCGACTCTGGCTTTCATGCCTTGCGCCGGCTTTTCAAGCTGTGCCGTGACAGAGGTGTCACGTTGTGTGCTTCTGTCAACATCTTGCAGCTTCATCAACAGTGGTGGCTGCCAAGTTCCATAGGACCAGAGCTTTGTCATCTGCAAGGACGGCAGCTCCAACAGAGGCTCAAGCTAGTGGGCCTGGTGACAGGTTGGTTTAAGAGCCTCAGCAGGCAGGCGCCCCAAGCCGTCGGACGCTTGGTTTGGGAATACCTTGGTGGCGATTGCTTGGGAGACTTGCTGCTGACCGTGCATCGTGAGTCCGAAGCTTTGCTGGAGCAGAGGGTGCTACAGCTGTACAAGTTTCGGATGGCCGCGCTGTGCTTTCAGAGGTTTGCGCATCAGCCGGCCAGCATAGTTGAACGCACTAGGCAGCAGTTCCGTGATCTGATCCTTGTGGCCGACCCGCCGGACATGGTGGGTGGTCACGAAAATAACATGTGGTGGCCCAGTGGGTCTTTGTACTTGAAAGGCCCCAATGAAGCCTATGTTCGAGCTGCTGCCGGGCAGCTTTTTGATCTCCGAGCGGCGGAGCTCTCGAGGCAACTACGGAGTTATCGTGGGCCAACAGCTCGCGTTGACCGGATGGGGAAGCTCGTAGCTGCCCATGTCATAGATGATCTACCGCCTCAGCTTGCGAGACTGCCGATGGTGTATACCATTGGTTGGCTTGATGGCGTTTGGTTTGAGACTGTACATTGTCGCAATGCCGACGCTTTGCCGATGTCGGAGGTCATCCTGATCGCTAAGCCTGACTGCTGGGCAGTGGTCGGAAAGCCTGATGCTGTTCCGATAGTTGCCAGTCAGTGGGCTCGCATCATAGACTTGCAACCATCTCGTGGCGATGCAGAGTTTGATTCTGGCTGAACGGATTTCACATGGGGAGACTGTTGGCACCTGCGTCGCCCAGGGAAGAAAACACTTGCTGGAGGGCTTGATTCGGAGATTTGTGTTTTCAATTCTCAGGGTATGCCCAAACCTGCCCAAAACCCCGCACGACGCCCTAGCTGGCAATGAGGAGTGCAGAATTGCCACACGAAGTCCTAGCTGGCCTTGAGGAGTGCAGAGTTACAACGTCAATCCAGGTTCTTCGTAGTAGAGTGGCTAACCTTGAACCTTTTTGGGGTAGTATATTCCTATAGACTCCCAAAGGATAACCTTCAGTTCCCCAGGATCCTGGACATTTCAGGGTTTCCGGGCCTCAAGGGACAGCAACTCCCGATGAGGATGCGCTGCGCAAGCTGCTCCCCGGACTGGGCCTAGTGGCCTTCGTGGGGAACGGCGCCGTCCTCCCGCGGAAACTCGGTCTCTGCCACATCGCGGGTGTAAGTGTAAGTGGTATGTGTGAAGCCGAACTATGGGTGTGAGTGGAACTTTAGGTGTCAGCGCAAAGTGTAAAGTGCAGAGTGTAAAGTGCAAGGTGCAAAGTGCAAGGTGCAAAGCGCCCCCCCCCCCCCCCCCCCCAAAAAAAAAAAAAAAAACGGAAAAAAGAGCTTGGGGACACCCCCCCCAACCCCCCCCCCCCTAAACCCTAAATCCTTAACTCCTAAACCCTAAATCCCCCATGCAAGAGCAGCCCAGGAAGAGTGGAGTCGACGACCGGCCCATGACGAAGAAGGACCCCGCCACACACCCTTGTCAGCCCTTAGAAGCGCTTCTCAACCCTTAGAATTGGGGTTTAGGGCTTAGGGTTTAGGATTTTTGGGGTTTTAGAATTGGGATGCACCCCCTATACTAACAGTCCGTAATGGGGACTGTATAGGGGGTATGAGAATCCTTACTAAGGACTGTTCGTATAAGCGGGAACATCCCAAGCATAGAAGCCCTTTTAAACCCTTGTAGGCCCTTATAAACCCTATGACCCTGGGATTCGGATTTAGGTTTTTTTGGACTTTGGGCTGTTCAGGCCGGGGGTTAGAAGGTTTGGAAGTGTTTCGGGGTTTTAGGGTCTGGCAGCTCAGGGTTTTGGGGCTACAAGGGTTTATCAGGGCTTTTAAAGGCTTGCAAGGGCTTATACGGGTGTATCAGGCTTTTATGTTTTTTGGCAGGGTGCGGGGGGGTTTTGGGGTTTTAGGGCTTCAGGGCTGCAGGCCAGGAATCTTTACCGCTTGAACCCTAGAAACCTTGGTTCATTGCTCTGGGCTCCTGAGGCGCAAAGGGATGGGCACCGTGCTACCTCATGCAAGATGCTGGTATCCCAACTTTCAACCTGACCCCCCCCCCCCCCCAAAGAAAAACAACAAAAGGGGGGGAGGGGGAGAAAAGAAAGGGCTTAGGGTTCGCGATGCAAGCCTTCAGGTGAAGCTAGGCCCCTATAACCCTGGCCCTCAACCCCCAAACCCTCAACCCTATTCAAGTTATTAAGGCCCCTTTTTTAGTTAGGCCCCAAGCTCGGGCTTGTTGTTGTTCTTCTCCGTCCTTTCGGAACATACGCGCAGGGGGCAAGGGCTTGGGGTCGAGGCTTGAGGCTTGAAAGCTGCGATTAGGGTTTGGGGTTTGGGGTTTAGGGTTTAGGATTTAGGGTTTAGGGTTTAGGGTTTAGGGTTTAGGGTTTAGGGTTTAGGGCCATAAGCCCGAAGCGCAACACCCCGCCCACAGGACTCCACAAATCTGGTGACCTTCCAGAGCCCTGCCTCAATGGAGGTGACCCTGACCCTGCCGCATGCAGGCCAGGCCCCATACCTTCGTAGCCCAGTGGTACCCTTCTCCCCTTGGGTTTAGGGTTTAGGGTTTAGGGTTTAGGGTTTAGGGTTTAGGGTTTAGGGTTTAGGGTTTAGGGTTTCTGGCTCAACGTTCCCTTATAAAGTAACCAACCAAATGAAGTGTAATTGCCCTGATGATCACGTGGCTACTGGCTACCAAGATACAGTGCTAAATGTTCCCTAAGGGTCCATGTACCTGTGTAGTACGTACTTGGGCCCTACAGCTACTACATAGGAACCCCTTCAAGGCCCAAGTATGTATTATACTGGTACATGGACCCTTTGGGCTGGCCTCTTGTGGTTTAGGGGGTTTAGGGGGTTTAGGGGGTTTAGGGGATTTAGGGGATTTAGGGGGTTGAGGGGGTTTAGGGGATTTAGGGGGTTTAGGGTTTTGGCGCACCCAAAAAGCCCCTTGCAGAAGGGTTGCCCTGAGGGGTTTCCCTGGAGAGGAGACTAAGTTCAAGACAGGGTTTAGAGAGTTGGTGGGTTGGGATGCTTCCCCCTTTTTTTCTGACAGTCCTTAATAGGGGGATTATAGTACCCCCTTGTTCTAACATAAGGGCTGCTAGTATAAGGGGGTGCATCCCAAGGTGTGAGTCTCACGAATCATTTCGTGCTGATTTGTGGGAGAGCTTTGCTGCGCGTGGTTTTTGGGAAGTCTGCAGTTGAGGGGCTTGGGGTTTAGGGTTTAGGGTTTAGGGTTTTGGTGTATAGGGTTTAGGGTTTAGGGTTTTGGTTTATAGGGTTTAGGGTTAGGGAACACAAATGCATACCGGCCTCACCCGTCTGAAGCCCCTGCTGCTGTGAGATACGCATATCCCCTGCAGCTGGCACCTGCTAATATCCCTAAACCCAAACCACTAAAGCTCTAAACTCTAAACCAAGTTGAAACCCTACTTGACACCCTAATCCTTGAAGGGTGCAAGTCACGCCACTCTTTGGAAGTCCTTTCTCAGGCACAGGGAAGTTGGCAGGGTTTGGGTTGTGGGTTACGCGTCGAAACCTTAGATTTCCTGGGCCCGAAGCAATCGAAGGGTAGCCCTTGTTTATGGCACCTTGTATATGCCAAGTATACCACCCAGAAAAATCCGAGGGTCCACACTTCAGCACCCTTTACGAATGTAAGCGGCCATAGTGAGGGACCATGGTCCTACTTAGACACAAGTACCGATCGAACTATCTACCCGACTCTTCATCTCTTTGTCCCTGTGTGTCCCTAAACCCTAAACCCTGGACAGGTGAGGTGACCGGTATGGGAATCCAGAAAGGGGTGACCCTCATTGTGGGTGGCGGCTTCCACGGCAAAAGCACCCTTCTTCAGGCTTCCCGACATGCAGGGGCGACGTGGGGATTTAGTGTTCTTGACAGGGGCGACATGGATTTAGGGTTCTTGAGCGTCCCGAAACCCTAAACCCTAAACCCTATAAACCCTATAAACCCTATAAACCCTATGAACCCTATAAACCCTATAAACCCTATAAACCCTGTAAACCCTATAACCCCTATAAACCCTATAAACCCTATAAACCCTATAAACCCTATAAACCCTATACCCCCTATAAACCCTATAGACCCTATAAACCCTAAACCGTGAGGATTCAGGGTGCCTTGGGCTTTCGTCTAGGGACCCTGCACCAGGAATCGGCACCAAGCGCCTGAACTTCGTCAACCCTGAATCTTTGTAGTTCCTAAACCCTAATCCCTAAACCCCAAACCCGAAACCCCAAACCCCAAACCCTGAACCCCAAACGCTCAACCCTGAACCCGAAACCCTGCAGTGTTAAAGGGCAGTCAGAGCACTAAGGAGCTGCAGGTCCTTGCACGCCAGGTGCTAAAATGAGACATTAAAGATTATAGCGAAGCATGGTTTAGGGTTTTTGGTTTAGGGTTTAGGGCCAGGGTTCAGGGTTTAGGACTTGGGGCTTAGGGGTTACGCCCTTTTATGTGGGCATGGCTCCCAGCTGACCTTGGCACAGGGTCTGGGTTCAAGAAAAGTCTTGATATGGGAGTGTCCGACATCCATCATCAGTTTGCACGAGGCGCTGCAGCTGGGCATCTACAACAAGGCGGGTGCCCTACCTAACCCTGAACCTCAAACCCGAGACCCGAAACCCCTGTCCCCACGCCCCAAGCGCCTCAAGCCACCATTTCCCGTCCGGAGTTATGTGTTTGGGTCTCTCTGACTTAGGGCCTTGAGCGTTTTGGGTTTGTAGTACGATCCCCTGAAGGGACCGGAATTTACACAGCCTCCCAGATACGATATCCGAGGATTTCGAGAGTCCATGTTCGTTTGCATCTTGTGCCCGGTTCCCCGCAACCCTAAACCCTAAACCCTAAATGTCTATGGCCCTCAGGGGGTCTTTAAACCCAAAGCCCGAAACCCTTCAGTCATAGCAGTCAGTGGTTTCCTCGGCCCGTTCGGAGTGACACGTGAGGTGCCCGCAAGGCGGAATTAAAACTGAACATCCTGACAGTCTTTTCTACCATTTGCTTAAGAACCCCCCCCCCCCCCCAATAAACAAAAGATATTCTTCCTTGTAAGGGCAATATAGGGATTATCGTTCTTCGTTTTTTGAGTGCTTCTTAAGCAAACAGTAGTTCTGCAAAACAGATTGCAAGGACAAAGCGTATTCATGTCAAGAAGAGCTAAGTTTTAGGTCTTAGGGTCATCAGACGGGCTTGAAAAAATGAACAAGGGTCAGTGTTTGTTGGGTTCAGGCCGCTTATCTGGATGATAAAGTCTGTGTAGTTATATGGCAGTTCTCCGAACTCTCAATTTTTTTGTATCCTCTATGCATATATTGCTACAACTTAGCAAACTGGCCGCATATGATTTCAGTGTGTCATTTCATTTCACTCATTTGCCGTTTGCTTTCGTGCAACGCAGCTTGGTCGCACTACGCTCTACTAAAAAAACACTACATGGCGTCTGACACCCTACTCCTGCTTACATTCCTCCTTTTGGGGTATCTCGTGGAGCGATGGTGCAGTTGCATTCCCGTCTCAGGCAGTAGCATAGCGCGGGTTCATAAAAAGGGGTACCAAAACCTGGTTCTCGTTTCCCAGCTCTAAAGCAGAGCGCCCACAGAGAGAGGGGGAGGAGGTACATCCTGCTTATGTAAACTTCGAACTTCGCGACTTCTCGAGGTTCCCGGAGACGGTCGAGAGTATGTGGTCTGCGACCCCCAAGCAGCGCCTGGGGTTTATAGGGTTCAGGTTTTAGGGCTTTAGGGGCTTTAGGGGGGGTGGGGGTGGTGAAGGTGGGTTTTTTCTACGTTCCGTTCCTGTCCTAGGTTCCTGGGGAGCCAAGTGTGGGATCCCCTGATTTTTTTGGGACACCGCAAAGTAAAGCGAGTCTAAGAGGACGTATGGCAGCAGCCTGCACATGCACGTATGCGCGCTGAGGTTCATCTCTCACATACCCCTTTGTCACGGTAAACTAGCAGCATTGCAAGCTACAATGCTACAATTTGCTTAAGAATCCCTCCCCCACAAAACATGAATATATTCTTCCTTAGAAGTTCAATCTTATTATTTTTTCTTTTTTACACTGTAAACCTGCAAGCCTTTTAAGGTTGTAAGTTGGGATGTTGCCCCCTTATACTAGCAGCTCCTTAAAAGGGATTATAGTACGCCCTGTTAGCATAAGGGGGAACGAACAATCCAACCCCGAACCATAACCCTAAACCTAAACCCTAAACCCTTTTTCGGGCTTAAGTAAGCCTTGTTGAGACGCCCTGCGCAGCTACCCAGGTGAAAATCCGTGCCGAGGACGGCCGCTCCGTGAAGAGTACCGACATCTCACCGCCGCTTGGCCAGAGAGACTTCATCACGGAAGCTTAGGGTTTAGGCTTTAGGCTTTAGGCTTTAGGCTTTAGGGTCTAGGGTCTAGGGTTCAGGGTTTAGGGTTTAGCGTTTAGGGTTCAGGCCCCTAGATTAAGAACTTGCCCTAGCTAGCCCAAAGGGTCCATGTACCTGTATCGTGTATACTTGTGCCTTAAAGGGTTTCCTATATAGTAGCTTTGCAGAACAAGTACATACTACATATAGTTACATGGACCCTGAGGCCGGGAGTTCGGGAAATGTGGCCACAGGTATGGATATTGCGGAAATGAATTGACAAGCGTCCCGCTAATGATATCGTGATGGTTCTCATTCGAGCAGTATATGCGGGTGAGTCGGCCAAAGGTTCATCAACAACCTGCCGTTCGGGAAGCAGACAAAACAGTTCACCACCGGCGACGCCTCTGGATCAACGTCCCAGGCCCTGAGGTTCGAGTGCATGGCATTGGCCGTTCTTGAGTACCCTGAATACAAGGGCCGGTCTGATAGACGATATGTATATGCACATGTATGCGTACATATATATATATATATGTATATATATATATATATACGCATACATCTACCTACCTACATATTTTTTTGCATGGCTGCGTCGGTACCCCAAGAGGGACCCGGATTCTGGATATGCCAGGCCGCCAACATCGTCGAAGCCCTCGAGATCGGCTGTACCACATTGCTGGTGACGCGGCTGCTATGTATGAATGGTGTCCCCCCACCCCACCCCTCCATAAGCCTAAACCCGAAACCCGAAACCCGAACCCCACACAACACCGCGGGAGGTGGGGGGAACCATGGAGGGCGGGGACGTGACCGGGCGCGCTGTGATCATATACGGAGAACGGGGGGAGGGGGGGGGTTTAGGGTTTGAAGGGTTTGAGGCTGCTCTACACTCCAAACACACGGAACCTCCGACGGTTGGCGCGCTCTATTTACCCCCAAGTGTCGGCGTTGCCGACAGTCGCAAGGCGTCGTCTTGGAATTTTCAACCTTTTTCCCTGCCTCATAGTGATGGCCTTGGGCCTTGAACTTCAAGAGCTGAATCGATTCGAGAGTCCAACGTCATGGTGCGGGCTGGGCCGAGGGTTTAGAGTTTAGGGTTTAAGTTTTGGGAAAAGCACGGCACTCCAAAATCCTTATGTCCTTATGTCAAGCCTAACGCAGTGCAGAACCTTTTCGAGCCCTTCGCGCTCCGGGTGTCCCCACCCCGACTAGGTTGATGAAGACACGTGCGCGACCAACTTCATGATCCGGGATGAGAAGATGAAGGCCTGGTGCTGCAGGAGACAGCCTTTGGCTAGGACTCAGAGTAGACCCTACCCTTCTTCCCTTTTTTTAGGGTTTAGGTTCCTCTGTCAGCCGTTTAATCCAAACAGGGCACCCTGTGTATTGGTTACTCTTGGGTCTAGTTGCTGTTCGGAGTTGAGCCTGTCTGGCAACAAAGGGAGAGGGTTCCTGAGCCAATGGACATTGGCCGGTTGCCTAGAAAGGGTTTAGGGTTTAGGGTTTAGGGTCTAGACCCATCGAACCAACAGCCTCGCCAGCATTTGCCAGCGTGAGGCCCGAAACCTCCAAACAGCCCAAGTCCTACTCTAACTTGCTTGGGGTTTAGGGCTTAGGGTTTAGAGTTTAGGATTTAGAGTTTAAGGTTTAGGGCTAGGAGTTTAGGGTTTAGGGTTTATAACCTCAATGACCAACAGCTTCAAAAGTCGCAAGTTTTTTCTGGGGGTGGGGGGGAGTGGAAGGCGCTGGTGGCCCCGGACAAGGAGCCGATCACTGCCTTCGTGTGCAAGGTCCGATCGCTGCTAGAGGAGCAGGGCGTGTCCACAGCCGCTTGGAGTGGTAGGGTTTAGGGTTTAGGGTTTAGAGTTTAGGGTTTAAGGTTTAGGGTTTAGGGTTTAGGGTTTAGGGTTTAAGGTTTAGGGTTTAGGGTTTAGGGTTTAGGATTTAGGGTTTAGGGTTTAGGGTTGTTGTATTAAGCATCACTAGCACGGCTATGTATTTCTGTTACATTTACTAATATTAAGCACGGTCTCCTGGCGCAAAACCTTTGGGTTGCGAGTTTAGGCTTCAGGGTTTAGGGTTTCTGGTTTCTAGGGTTTAGGGTGCAGGGTTCATAGTTCATAGGTTTTAGGGTGTAGGGTTTCTAGTTGATTTTTGTTTCTAGGGTTTAGGGTTTTGGGTTCATAGTTCATGGTTTTAGGGTGTAGGTTTCTAGTTGTTTTTTGTTTCTAGGGTTTAGGGTGCAGGGTGCATAGTTCATAGGGTTTGGGGTTCAGGTTGTAGGGTTTCTAGGGACCCCAAAGCTACGAGACAGGCTCAGCTTGGAGCAGTTGAGGTCCTTGTTGTCGGTGGAAGTGGGGACTTCTTCAGCGTGGCGGACTCCGTGATCATGATGGACGAGCCTCTTGTCAGGCTGAAGTTTATAAAGGGTGTAGGGTTTAGGGTTGAACATAATAATAAGAGTAATAATAATAATTGTAATAATAAGAGTAAGAATAAGAACATAGTAAAACAACTAAGCCCCAAACCCCTCAACCCTAAGTCCCCTGAATCCCTGGTTGTGTGGATGGCAAGTGTTCTACATGAGGGTCCCTTTTGGGCATCCTGTTTTCTAGGGACTCGGCCTTGCCATGTCTCAAAACCCTCACCCTTAACCCAAAACCCTAAACCCTAAAGCCTAAACCCTAAACCCTAAACCCTAAACCCTAAACCCTAAAACCCTAAAGCCCTAAAACCCTAAACCCTAAACCCTTGTGCACGCTTGCCTCAGGTATGTCGCGAAAGATGTCACTGAGCGGGCCCGCGAGATCGGCCAGAAGCAGTTTGGTGTGGTTTATACATTAGGGTTTAGGGTTTAGGGTGCAAGGTGTAGGGTTGTAGGGTTTAGGGTTGCAGGATTTAGGGTGGTCTCTTTTAGTAGGATTCCTGTTTTATAGGGGCATGATAGTCGGGGTTCTTATTGGAGTATCTAGGGGCTCTATTAAGGTATAAGGGAAACAGATAAAGAGGCCACCGGCCTTAACAAGGTTTAAACACGCTTTTTGTGTGTCATTAAGAGGACTCTGCACCTGTAACTTCCTTATCCGGGTCGTATCACTCTAACATTGGGGATGGTCGTTCTGGGCTCCGTACTCCGAGAAATAGGCGTCACGATGCAAGGCCCTGGATCACTTGGAGGTGCAGGATACTTGTAACCCAATTCTGAGTGTAGTTATAACCCACTTACAAGCCCGTTAAGTCCCCCAATAGGGTTATGTTTGGGTTATGAGTACAGTTATCATTGGGCTACTAAGTACCATGAACGCGCAAGTAGGGTTTCGGGTTTAGGGTGCAGGGTTTGAGGGGGTGGAGGGGAGCTTCTTGGGATCTAGGGGTCGGAAGAATTTCTCCTAGTATTGCCTCAAGGTGCCTATGTACTGAACCCCCCCCCAAACCCCCATCAAAATCCTTTAAGCCCCCTATATGACACTGTATAGCTTCTTTGGGGTCTATTGGCCGGAAGTCGGCCTACTCCTGGTGTTCCCTAGGAAGTCTTGTTTCTTTTATGTAAGTTCATGTTTTTTTTTGGGGTGGTCCTAGGTGTAACTATGTGTTGTTGGCGTGTAACCCAAGTGCCAAAGGAATATTAATCAAGACACAATCAGATTTTCCCCAGCGTAGGCCCTTGCTCTTTCTTTTTTGTTACGGCTTAGGTTCCCTTATAAGGCCCGTCAAACCAAAAGGGGTACCCTTTTGATTCTCAGGTTACTCTTTAGTCCTAAACCCTAAACCCTAAACCCTAAACCCTAAACCCTAAAGCCCCAAGCCCTAAACCGTGCTCCTTATGGTGTGGAGGGGGAGTGCAGACTGCACAGGGCCAAGCCTATCTCCAAGAGTAGCCAACGTATCAGGCTCTTTAGGGTTTACGGTACCACCTTCATCCCTAAACCCTGAGCCCTAAACCCTGAACCCTAAACCCTGAGCCCTAAACCCTAAACCCTAAACCCTAAACCCTAAACCCTAAACCCTAAACCCTGAACCCAAGATCCTTGGCTGACTATTTGGAGCCCGCGTGGTGGCTCTTTCAGGTCCGCCGCTCCGAGCCAGGCGGCCTTTGGAAAGGCCACCTGGCAAAGCAGTAAGGGTTTAGGGTTTAGGGTTTAGGGTTTAGGGTTTAGGGTTTAGGGTTTAGCGTTTAGGATTTAGGGTTTAGGGTTTAGGGTTTAGGGTTTAGGGTTTAGGGTACGGCTCAAGTTTGGCTACGAGACCCTGATGGGTATTTGCAAGTCGTCAAATTCATCAAACCCTTGGTACTCTCGCTATGGCGGCAGCAAGATGGAAACTTGTTTCGGCAGTCGGCTTTGCACTGCGATCCGCGAGGAAGCTTGACGTCCCTTGTGAGGTGTGCTCTTCTCTGCAGACAGCATTGTACGCTTTGCTGCAAAAGGCTTCTGTGGAAAGACCCGGAAGGGCAATGGACAGCAGTTTCAATACAGGAAACCCAGTGGTCATCAGTCTCCATGATGCTTTATGGGCCAGCGGGGCACTGCAGTGTGAGGAAGGGTCGGGGTGTGAGGAAAAGCTGGAAACAGCTTTACATGCAGAACATTTCCTGGAGGAACCTGTGGCTTCAATGAGCTGTGCTCAATCTGGAACGGATGGACCTTTTGACGTGAAGATCGATGGTGATAAAATGGATGTGGATGAAGTTTGTCCCTTATCGGATGATAGGCAAGAAGACGAAGGCGACCAGTCGAATCACACTTTAGTGGAGCTACCAGACAGCCCACGTAGCTATCTCCAACATTTCCTGCAGCAAGCCGCTTCGAATTCTGAAGTTATTGAGGGGCTGCAATTCTTGAAAGCTCAGCTCAAGGACACAATTCACTCCGCCACCTCGTCCTCTGTCAGTCATCGTGCATGGACCGGACGCCTCTACCAGGAGATATGTGAGCAACTCCGGCAAATTCAGTCGACCAAAGGTTACACTACGGAAGCTGCTACCGATTCTATCAACCAGATTCAGTCAGGCCTGTCCCGGGTGCATTCTCATCCCTCAATAGAAGCAAAGCACACACCACACCTTCGCAACGGCGGTGTGTCTCCGTTGCGAGTGAGGATTGTCCCGAAGCTCAGTTCATGGATCCCTTAGAGAGATCAAGGACGTTGCATGCAGAGCAAAGGAGGGCCTTCAAGTTGCAAAGACGGGAGGAACGCTTGAGGCGCTTGGGCAGTTTCCCAGTCCGTGCTCAAAAAAAGGGTTTAGGGTTTAGGGTTTAGGGTTTCGGTTGTAAGGTTTAGGTTTAGGGCTTAGCATGAGAAAGCTTCTGTCGTTGCTTGAAGTTTTCGGGGTGTGGTTGGATTGCTTCTTAGATTGGTATGGATTTCTGAGTGTAAGGCTCGAGAACACGTCACTGCTCGGTTGCAGAGCTACTTTAATTCCTAAGAAACAGCAAACATTGTAATTGTTGCTAGGATTGAAAGTTCTGTGTAGGTTAGGGTTTAGGAGACCAAAGCCATCCAACGCCTTGAGCTTCGCCCAGAATGGGGACGAAATGAGCCCTCACCGGGTTGCTGCTGCATGCGTCTTTGAAACTTTAGCAGCAGAATGTATATGCGTATATGATCAACACTTATTGGGTTCAATATCAATATGTGTCCTGAAGGCAACCCTAAACCCTAAACCCTAAACCCCAAACCCTAAACCCTAAACCCTAAACCCTAAACCCATGTTTAGCTGCAACTGTCAGGTTGCCCGGCGCCGGCTGCAGGCCAACGGCCTGGCAGCCGATGGCAAGGTGGCTGCACGAAACTTGAGGCACGTCCTTGGCTGGCTCTCTGGCTGGATGGCTTGGGGTTTAGGGTTTAGGGTTCAGGGTTTAGGATTTAGGGCTTCAAGGAAGAAGGAGGGGTTCTAGATGGATTCTATGGGTTCGGTACCCTAAACCCTAAACCCTAAACCCTAAACCCTAAACCCTGAACCCTAAACCCTAAACCCTTAGGCAGAGTCGAGGTTCGGCACAGTTCGGGGGGTGTTGAGGGGATGCAACTTGGAGTATCCCCAAAACGCGTGGAGACCCTGCGGACGGTCTAGGGTTTAGGGTTTCGGGTTTAGGGTTTAGGGTTTTCAGGGTTCAGGGTTTGCTATGCGCAGGTGCATCCAATACGGCGAGACAGAGGCACCTGCCGTGGGGCTGGGATTGGCTTAAAGGGCTAATTCCTCTTCGTTTAGGGTTTAGGGGCTTAGGATTGTAGGGTTTTAGGGTTTTAGGGTTTAGGGTTTTAGGGTTTTAGGGTTTTGGGGTTTTGGGTTTTTAGGGTTTTAGGGTTTTAGGGTTCCAGGGTGTTAGGGTTTAGCCCAGTGCCAATAACATGGAGTGCATAGTGTCTAGCAAAAAGGTTTTGGGAAAGCGGGGCATCTACAGCAGTTCCTTCCGGGGACTCTGATGAGTCACCCTGCGCCCTAAACACTAAAGCCGAGGTAGGACCTTTGGATATTTTGTGTTTTCCCTCATTGGGTCTAAGAGGATCATATGTGCGAATATTTTCAGAAGGTTGTAAAGGTCATCCTAGAATCCTAACCCCTAAACCCTAAAACCCTAAACCCTGAACCCTATATTACAGGACCGTAGTTCTCGAAGAAGTGACCGACTTTAGTAAGGCCTGCTCGTTGCTGCAGGTGCCCCTGGGGCATCCGAGAGGTTTAGGGTTTAGGGTTTAGGGGTTTAGGGTTTAGGGTTTAGGGTTTAGGGTTTAGTTCCCTTATGAGGCCCGAACCCCCAAGCTGCCAAAGCCGCCTTCCCCCCGTAGGTCGAGCTGAGCTGCGTCGAGCAGCTGGTGGAGATCAGCCAAGCGCGGGCGCACCTTCCCTTGGGTTTAGGGTTTAGGGTTTAGGGTTTAGGGTTTAGGGTTTAGGGTTTGTGCCTCCGCAAGCGTTTGTGCCTTCAGGGTCATCAGGGTTGAAAAGAAATCGGGTTGCTAGAGAGGGTCATCCGGCCATGTCAATCAAGTTGTAGGTGATTTGGTTAAGGGTTCGAGCGTCTGAGAGTATCACGGCGAACTCCGGGTTTAGGGTTTAGGGTTTAGGGTTTAGGGCTTAGGGCTTAGGGCTTAGGGTTTAGGATTCAGGGTTTAGGGTTGTGATAGTGTGTGTGTGTGTCCTCGGCTGAAGAACAGCGGAGGAGGCAGTCCCAGCAAGCTTGTCCGAGCCTGGGTTCAAAAGGGTTTAGGGTTTTTTTGGGGGGATTGCGGCACCCCGAACCCCCACTCTCTCAATCTCACAGTCGTGACAGACAGCCTCTGGAAGCTCCTACTCCCTAACCCCTAAAACCCTAACACCCTAAACCCCTAAACCCTGAACAACGCTAAACCCTAAACCCTAAACCCTAAACAATGCTAAACCCTAAACCCTAAACCCTAAACCCTAAACCCTAAACCCTAAACCCTAAACCCTAAACCCTAAACCCTAAACCCTAAACCCTAAACCCTAAACGCTCAGGATCGGAGATGCCTTACAGTTGCTGGGCGACGGCCTCTCGGCTAGCTGGGGCTGAATCGGGTTGGAGGGCTTCGGGTTTAGGGTTTAGGGTTTAGGGTTTGGGGTGTAGGGTTTAGGGCGGTGATTCCGCAAACCCCTCAAGCCCAATAGCCTGACTGTCATAGGGGGTCCGTACACCTCCCCGCCCGACTCTTTCTGCTTGGAGATTATTGGGATTACTTTTTGCCGGGGGTGGGCTGGCGCTCCGGGTGTTGGACGTTGGTTGAGAGAGTCGTTTCGGCTGCGCATGCTTGTGTTTAGGAGGTCTGCCGGGCCACTGCATAGGTGTGCTGCTACGGTTTCGGAACCCTAAACCCTAACCCCTAAACCCTAAGCCCTAAACCCTAAACCCTAAACCCTAACTTGAGCGGTGAGTGCTCTCTCCTCTACGGCCTTCCCAAGAAAGCTTGCAAGGCTTGCAACGTGCCGAACTCCTAATGGAGGGGTCGGAATACAATACTATAGCAGCATTCCCTTATATTAATATAGTCCCTTTATCATGATGCTTGTACTAGAACACCCCCCCGGAAACGTCTAGACCCTAAACCCTAATTATGTCACAAGCCCCGGCCACCCCAGGCAGCCTTGTGAAAGGGGGACGGCCGCTCACAAGCGTGCTCTGACAGCAAAGTTTAAGCCTGTTTACCAAAGTTCTTAGGGTTCGGGTTTTAGGGTTTAGGGCTTAGGGTCTGGAGTCTAGGGTTTTAGGGTGTTAGGGTGTTAGGGTTTAGGGTTTAGGGTTTAGGGCTAAAACGTGCCTATGTCCCTGCATCATGTGCCCAGAGTGCATTTCCTAGCCTCCACGACGCATTCTGCAAGACGCCTCGGACGACGAACGGGATATGCAAGGACTTTTATTGCGTGCGACGTAGTCTAGGGCATGGGATCTCAATTCTGAGGTTCATGTGGTCTCCAAGGTATGTGGGCCACCCTTCTTCCCTCTTAGGTAGCAAGGTGGTAGGATGCTGCACGCACCACATGGTGTCGTGGAGGTCGGCCAGGATTCCCCAATCCGAGCCGTAGCTAGGTCATCTAGATCAGGGCGGAAGGCTGATGATTTTTAAGGGTGTTTAGGGTTTAGGATGCCCTTTAGGTTCCGGGGGGGCTTTGCCTCGGGGGAGGTACGCCTTTTGCCGGGCTTAGGATTGAGCCCGTGCCTTCTGCCAACGGCTGCAAGTGCTGACCATAGGCTTCAAAGGCCAAAAGACCCTGGAAACCAAAAACCCCAAACCCTAAACCACAACCCCTAACCCTAAACCCGAAACCCGAAACCCTGTGCCTAAGGTCATTAGCGACCTTGAGAAGCAGATCCTTGCAGACGGCAAGCCAGTGGGAGAGCAAGGCATGGCCTCGAGCAGACATGTTTAGGAGAGTTCTTTTTCTTTAGGGTTGAGGGTTTAGGGTTTGGGGTTAGTTTAGGCAGCAGGGCTTAGAGTTTAGGATTTAGGGTTCAGGGTTGAGGGCTTATTCTCATCGTTGGAGTTCCGGGTTTAGGGATGTTAGGGTTTAGTGCTAAGGGTTTTGGATCTTATGCCCTATGCTGCTAGCCTAGAGAATGGGCTCACGAACCGAACTTCACTGAAAGGGAGCTGTATGATCAGGTTTAACGACTGGGATCCTGAGGAGACAGTTTGGAAGTTTTCAAGACCAATTCAGGTGTCATGAGCACACAAGCTGCGATATGTCAACGTGTAGCCAAAGAACCCCAACGCGTACCCGACGGAATCGCGTGAACCGGTCCACCCTAAATCCGAAGCCTTGCACGGATTCCAAGCTCATTTGGAGGTTTATGAAAATAAGCGACCCCAAATATTGACCCCCAAACAGTAGATTCCCTTAAAATCAGGACCCGAATAAGGTACCCCTATTGTAGGAAACCCCAATTTGGTTCATAAAACCCTAAGCCCTAGGAAGGCGCTGCTACCAGCTAAGCCAGCTGAGCCCACTTCTGGCCAAATTCGCCTTCCTCTGCAACCCAAAAAAATTTTCGGGGGTTTAGGGTTTAGGGTTTAGGGTTTAGGGTTTAGGGTTTAGGGTTTAGGGTTTAGGGTTTAGGGTTTAAGGATCATAAGCCCTGAACCCAAAAGCCAGTTTGCAAAACACAAGGGCTTAAGCACTGTTTCTGAGCGAAGCCAAGAGGCTTGGACTCACTGAGCCGCTTCAGGGAGCCCTGCCCGTTCTACGCGGCTCGGGCTTTGCATTGCGTTTGGGGTTTGGGGTTTGGGGTTTAGGGTTTAGGGCTTTGGGTTTTTTCGTGTTTAGGTTTTTTCGGGTTTAGGGTTTAGGGCTAGGGTATCGTTCAGGTACACTACCTGCTTTAAGGGTATGAAGGTTACTCTAGGGAATAGGGGGGGTGTAGGGCCTTGTGGTTCCGGCTTTAAAGGGTGTAGGCTTTGTGTGGCTTAATTTCTACTATTTGCTCAGGCCCTCAATCTAAAACCCCACACCCTCAACCTGAAATCTAAGCCGTCAACCTTAAACCTTAGTCTTCATCCCTAAGAGGCACCTAACCCTTATCCTCCTCAACCCTAAGATCTGAACCGTCAAGCCGCAACCCTATAAACGCTTAAAACCCCCCGCATACCAAAACTACCTCAGCGGGTCCACCCTCCTCCCCTCCCTAACTCCCACCCCAAACAGCCCCCCCAAAGGCCCCTAAACCCTAAACCCTAAACCCCTGAACCCTGAACCCTCAACCCTCAACCCTCAACCCTCAACCCTCAACCCTCAACCCTCAACCCTCAACCCTCAACCCTAAACCCTAAGCCCTAAGCCCTAAGCCCTAAACCCTAAACCCTAAACCCTAAGCCAAGCAGGTGATGCCTCGCCGCTTCGAGCTCGCCGCGGCGGTCAACCGACTGCGCACGGTTCAGCGCGGGCACCCGGACAATTCAGCTTGAGGTTACCCTAAACCCTAAACTCTTGTGTATATGCATATGATGATGATGATGATGATGATGTTTATGAATATAATATATATATATACACACATAGAAGCTTGTTTTATATACGTATATGTATGTATGTATATATATATATATATGTATACATGTGTTTTCGGGTGTTGAGGTTTAAAGTGTCCAGTAGGCTGCCGCTTGCCGAGGATGGTTGCGGACACGAGCAACGGCGATGACACTGCTTGGTGAGTGCTTGGATAGCCCGCAGATGCAACTTCTCAAAGTTTGCTCCAGAACACCCCACCCCCCCCCCCCCCCCCCCCCCCCCCACCGCCACACCCCCGCAACCCCCCCCCCCCCTAAAAGAAAAGTGAATATAAATGAATAAATAAGAAAATATATAAACAGAAAAACAATAAATTAATATACATATATATGTAAATATAGAAAGATTCTTTCTTATACGCGTAATGTAGGGATTATTATTCTTTTCGGGGTTCTTAAGCAAATAGTAGTTTAGAGCTTCTGGCGGATGAAGCCGGATATAGCCGTCTTGAAACGATTAGGTCGCCCTTAATGACCAAAGAGAGACAACATCCTCCAACCAAACTGCGACTGCAAACAGCAGGGTTTAGGGTTTAGGGTTTTAGGTTTAGGGTTTAGGGTTTAGGGTTTAGGGTTTAGGGTTTAGGGTTTAGGGTTAAGCAAAACAACCAATGCTTGAGCATGTAGCACAATGCAGGCCTTCGACTGGCCACAGCTGCGAGCGTGCGCAGTAAAAACGTGTATGAGCCAAAGAGAGGGCCCCCTCTTTGAGTACTACGCCAATTGTGGTTAAGGGGCTTAATAACCTAAGCTGGCATACTTGTGACCCAATGTAGGGCCCTCATAGAACTCTGCTGAGGCCTTGGGGCCTAGGGGGGCGGGGGCTCGAAGGGTAGTTACATGGTCCCTTCGTATGGGCTCTTAAACGGGAACCCCTGTTTTTCCCCTAAGCAAGTTAAGGGCCCATACATCAGAACCCTTCGAAGGAGGTTAGGGGCCCTAAACCCTAAACCCTAAACCCTAAACCCTAAACCCTAAACCTAAACCCTGTATTAAGGGCCCATGAAACTACGCTCAGAGGGGGCCCCTCTTTTGTATGGTCAGGCTCCTGATGCAGCCTTGCCTGCATTGGTCTGCGCTTCTTGCGTGGGAGCGAAAAAGGTGTGGGGACTTGTAGACAGTGGGGTCCTGGACCCTAAACCCTTCACCCTAAGTGGGTCGTAGCTTGCAGGAGAGGCCGATCTCGAAGTGTATCCTGGGAGTCGACCTAGTTCCGAGAGCAGTTGAATCTCGGCTCTATTTGAAGGAACCGTCTATACATGCACGAGTAACCTTTGTACCCTTAAAAATTGGGTTTTTTTTTGGGAACTACACACCTGCGTTTAAGCTAGAAGGCTTCTCCCGGCAGGGCACAAATTTTTCCGACCGGTTGCCAATGCAAGACTCTTGGACACCTGTCATCACTGCAGAGAGGATTTCAAGCACCCTAAACCCAAAACCCTCATCCTAAACCCCTCAACGTGGGTGAGCGCGGGCGTCGACACCCCTACGGTGTGGGATCTAAGTGCCCTGAGCAAAAGGCATGGGCACCTCCGAGACGTATCATGGTCACAGCCTTTGGCAGCCTGGCTGACAATATGTCCCTGTTGCTGAGATTGAAGTGCGTGGTGCTGGGCTTAGGGGTTAGGGAACGAGGTGTTTCTCAGGATTGTGCTGGGTTGCAACAGTGAACACTATTCTCGACAGTAGCTCCGCAGAAGGTCCGTGATACAGCACTTCTAGTATACAAGAGAGAGAGAGAGAGTGACAGAGACAGAGAAAGATATTTGTATATAAGTTGTCATGGACCCTTGGGGACTGGTATTCAAGGCAACCCTTCGCATCTGTTGCAACCTCTCGCCTTTGCTGTCACTACTTGTTTCCCTATAGTCCTGGATCCGAAGGGTTTAGGCTACCCCTAAACCCGAAACCCTAAACCCCAAACCCTAAACCCCAACAAGCGGCTCGCCCAGTTGCAGGGATTCTTTTTGCCCGCCCAGGAGACCATCATCCAGCCCTCGTGGACTGCGAGGGGTCGGGTCACCTGAGCTCTCCATGCCGAGGGTTTAGGGTTTAGGTTTAGGGTTTAGGGTTAGGGTTTAGGGTTTAGGGTTTAGGGTTTAGGGTTTAGGGTTTAGGGTTTAGGGTTTAGGGTTTAGGGTTTAGGGTTCCAGGAAAGGGGCTACCCCTGCTGTCGACAATCCCCCATATTGAGCAATCTTTTTCAGAGGGTTGTAAGGGCCATCCTAGCTGTTTTCCATACATGTGTTCTAAATGTAATATTTTCCCTCATGGGGTTTTTAGGAGGATCATATTCAGGATTTTTTTTCAGAAACTTGTTAAGGGGCATCCTGATTTTGTACTCACAGGACCTGCCTTCGGGCGAGGGGGTTCGACTTTGGAGGTTTGGGCTTTTTCGAGTTTTTTCGGGTTGAAAGTCTAGGGGGTTTAGGGGCT